TGAATATTGCCAAAGTCAGAGAAGTAAAATGATAGCTGAGTCTTTAAGGATACAGAAGAAGGTTCAGAGATGATTATCGTTGCCCTACCTAGACAAAAACAAGGAACATGTCCCATTTTCCTTAGAAACAATTCTTGAGTAAGGGGACAACATATATTGCCCAATGGGACCAGTTTGTGGTGGTAAATTTTATTTGGGAAATCAGTGCATGCTCAAAATTTGGAAACTGCACTTGTTATTTGTAAAATGCTAGACAAAAGTTTAAAAATGATATTATAACCCTTTTTCTTAGAGCTCTTTCCAATGTCTCTCCCATCCCACACATTGCTATTTCTGTAGCTTATGAGAAATGATGTTACACATAGGATGGTTTTCCAGGTTGTGTGTTTGGCATTGATTTGCTTTCTATTCCTATACTAGAGATTACTGTTTGCTCTCAAATCCATCATGACTTGTATTTTAATGATCACCATATTTTTGAATACATCAATCTGTAAAACGATATGTGACTGGATCATTTGTCGTTCTGTTGTAGACTTCTTTCCCTAATAGGGTTTCTTTCTTTGACAAATAAATTAGAGTGTCATATTTGTTTCCAAGCAGATGTAAGCTGGTAATGACTAGCTAGTATAAGCCACTGCATAAAAGTTCATAGAGGCATTTGAATCTCTTCAGGGTTGTAAATCTAGACATTACTATTTTATCTTTACTGGAAATTGCATCAAGGCAGAGGATGTGAAAGCACAGTGTCAAATCAACTGGCAGCCCCAAATAATTCTCCCTGGTGCTCTTCCTACAGACACATCCACATTACTGGCATCATTCCTAGACTTTCAGCCAGGGTGTCTCAAGTTTGCACAAATGGTAAATGCTTTTTAAACGATTAACTGATGTGATTGGTGACATTATTTAGGTTCTTACTACTCTCAGAATAATTCAGCTGTGACTTGGGCAAAGCATTTAATAAACAACCAAATTCAGCTTTTCACCAACTGCTTCCAAATGAACACTTCCAAATCCCAGACTCAATATCTCCCCCTCCATTAACAGGCATCGACAATCACAAAACATACAACAGCAAGCAAAAACCAGCAACCAGAATCCTCCTTCTTCTTTTGTGTTTCTGAGCTCTTAAAAACTGCAATGCGATTTGCCAAACTCCCTTTGTTAGGCAGCTTTTTGTTGGTTTGACCAAATTGCTGGCATTAACTATTTAAAGGAAAAAACTTTTAGTTGATGATTTCAGTAGTTTTCATCAACAGTCAGTTGGCTTCAAGGTAGAAACCTTACTGTGAATGGGTGTGGTGAAGGACAGCCGCTCAGCTCCTGGCAGCCAGGAAACAGAGGAAGAGACACAGAGAGAGGCAGGGAGAGAAAGAGGGAGAGATAAAGAAACAAGAAGGGGCCAGGGACAAGATATAGTCCCCAAGGGAACATCTCCAGTGACCTTCTTCTTCCAACTATGCTCCACTGCTTACAGTTTGCACCACCTTCCAGAAGTTCATTCAGCTATCAAGAGATTAATCCACTGATGAGGTCAGAGCCCTCATGATCCAGTTACTTCCCCAAAGCTAAAAACCCCACCCATGGACCTTGCTTCACTGGGGAGCAAGCTTTCAATACTCAAGGTTTTGAGAAACACTCCAGATTCGAGTCATAAACTGCCCAAGCCAGAAACAGAGGTCAGATGGGGTCTGCTGAGGACTCAAAGCAGCAGTGATTGCTAAGTCCACTGTGAGCATCGTCATTTCTTTAAATCTATACATTTTTTTTCCATATTCATGGCCATCTGCTCATTCAGGAATCTATTGATAATTCTTTGGGATCCTCCTGTGCCTACCTCTTAGATCCCTAATGCTCCCCAGTATGCCCAGAGTAACTGCTACAAAGTGTCAATCGGGACAGGTAAATCCTCTGGCTTATGAGTCCCTCATTTGACACCTAACTGATCCCAGGATATAATCAGACTCATCGATTTCATAATGAAAATCCTCATGATCTGGTGCTTGTTTATTGTCTAGTCTCATTTCTTCTGATTTCCTCTTCTCTTCACTCTAATGCTCTATAAACAAGAATTATGGACAATTCCTTGACAATATCATTCTAGTCTTTTCTCTCTTACCTTCTCTTTCTCTCATATTTTCTTTCTTTAAAAATTATTTACTTTTTAAAATGTGGTGCTAAGCATCAAACCCAGTGTATTGTATTTACCAGGCAAAGGCTCTACCACTGAGCTACAATCCCAGCCCCTCTCCTATTTTCTAGTTTGCCTAGATGCTTCTAATCCTATCCTTTTTTCCATGGTCTCCCTCCTTTTGTCCTTAAAGTTTCAGCTTGGGAGTCTTCCCTTTTAAGCCTGGTCTGGTTCCTCTGCAAGCGTATGACATGGCTTCACCACCACTGAACTGTGTATAAAAGTCTTGAGGGTCTGGAGCAAGTTGAGTTCTCTGCCATGGTTCTGCCTGATGGACTTGGCAGTTCTTCTACCTTCTGCAATACAAACTCTCTTTCAATTTCATATCTTTTCCCTGAAGGCCCACTGGAGAATTCTACTAATATCATGAAAGCAGTTGCCAGGCACCAGAATCTAAGATACCATGACAACAAAAGACCATCCAGCACCCTGTAGCCATGGAGACACTGCTCTGCAAACAACCAAAAAATATCTCATTAATAGGGAGAATACTCATCTGGCTTCTATAGTATTATCTGATTTGTTAGAGATGCTTGAACATATTATGTTTGAATATTTTTCAGATCCTGGAAGAGAGTCTCTGGATGAAGGAAAAATCCAAATGATAATGGTTACTATTCTCAGAGTCAGGAGTTGGGTACAGTGAACCCTCTTCCTTGTGGTTCTGAGAGACAGAACATCTTCATTAACATCCCCCAAATTAACATTGGTCAGTTCAAATTTAAGATGGTTTTGAGTAGTGGCCTGTCTGTAACAACAAATGTACTTCCATAACACCAAATCTAATAATTTATTTTTTAAATATAAAAAATACAGATATTAAATATTAGTTATGTTTTGTTAACGAAAGGGATCATTTACTTTTCTTTTTTTGTTTCAGAGATTTAGAATCATAAACCAAAGAGACTGTGGAGAAATTTGATTTTACTTGGCTTATTTGTGGCTTTGAATAACTTAAGTCAACTGAAACATATTGTTGCATTTTTTTTCTTTTTAATTAACAAAAGAGAGGCAAGGAAGCAATTGCCAAATCATTATAGGCTTCTTTTTATCTAGAGAATTCCCAGGTCTTGTTTGACCTCTTTCCAAGTACATCTTTGCTTATGTCTATCCTTGCTCTTTATAAATTATTATTCTAGTAAACACTCTGGAAAGTTGTAAAAACTTTAGTTTCATCCAAACTTACCTGGATGTTTTCTCCTTTTTCCCCTTCAAATCAAGCTTCAAATTACAAGTTCCTTTAATTCTAAACTATGATCATGCAAATGTTTTCTTATGATTTAGGCATTCACTCAACAAACACTTTTACCAATTATGGTTATCCAGAAATAAAACAGATTTTTTCAATGTCTTCACAGGGCATATATAGTAATGGGTTAGTTATAATATAACTATCATATTGGATAAACCTAAGGATTAAGTACTATTTAATGATAAGGTGGAGAAATGGTCAGTACCAGGGAATCACATGCAATTTTAGAGCAGGGGACATAGTCGATCAGAAGGTGGTCTTTGAGTTAAGATCTGAAGGAAATACAGGACACAAGGACTGCAGATGTCTGGGTGAAATTCTTCTCAAACAGAAAATGACAGTGAGTACAAAGGCTCTGTGGTGGGTGGGTGCAGGTATGTGTCAAGAATATGAAGGCGCCTAAGTTTAGCAGTGAGGAATGAAACACAAGATGGTAGAAGATGAGACGGTGGATAGCTTATGATCCCTGATTCATTCTCACAGGCCTTAGAGGCCATTGTTAAGGACAACAGTGCTAGAGATTTCTGGGAAGAGAAATCCAGCTGCTAGAGATTTCTGGGAAAAGAACATGCTCTGATTCTCAGTATCCTGCCAGCTACTGTGATGAAGTATACTGAAGAGGTATAAGGGCAAGAGATGCAGTTAGAGGTTGATGTGTCATCCAGGTGAGAGACTGATGACAACTGTGGCCTGGGTGGTAGTCCTGTGAGAGGTAAGAAGTACCTGGGGCAGAAGCAGTGGCTCCATGTTGCACATGTTGATTGACAACCTTTTCATCCAAGCAGGTATCGTGAATAGGCAAAGGGTGATAATTGTTTGGAGTTCAGGGGAGCATTGGGGGACGATACATAGACTTTTATCGTTCTGACAAAATTCAACATTCAAAAGTAACTAGATATACAAGAATAGAAAGGTAGTCTACAAACTCAGTTTATTTTTAAATATATTTGTTGTATTCCCATAGGCCACGGTTGATTTTGCAATGACGTAAAACTCTCTGGAGTATTCCCACACAATACTCCACTTCAGTATTGTTAACTTGGAGGCTTTTGAAAAAGTTATGAATGAGCAGAATTTGGTTCAAAATTTGCCTTTGATTTGCATGTGAACAACAGATATGCAAAATGTCAATACACAAGATAATGAAGGAGCTGCTAAATCCAGTTCAGAAAAAAAATACTCTTATCTTCTTAGAAGATACTTATAAACTATGACCTAGAGCTTATCATAGGTACAATTCTGTTCATCTAAAGGGAACTTGCTCTCAATATTTTAATAAGCTTTTCTCTACTGTTAATGGTTTGTGTACCTTCTACTTGAATGAATGTAAAACACTCTGCAACCCATATCTACCTTAGTAAACCATCCCCTTTGAAGTACCAGTTTGTGACATTCTAGACTGTTGATCTCAGTTTAACTTCACTGCAAATTTTGCAACTTAGGCACAAAAGGAAAGGCTACATCAAGAGACCTAAACCCAAATTTCACATGACTTAAGATTAAAGTAAATACACACATAAAAACTCTACAAAATGGGAGGGTGAAGAAAATGAAAACAGTTGCAAAGGGTATTTATTGAGAAATAGTAAAGATGTACATATTTTTACAAGCTTTTAATATTAATTTACATTTCTTTAAATTATGTAGGCCCCAATAATCTATACTTTACTAATACATAACAGAAACTCTTGACTTCAACTGTGAGATTTCCATAATGCTACCATAGTGGGGAGTCAAAATGCAACTTTGGCTCATGATGCTTAAGTTTGGTTTGAAAAGAAATACTAAATGCCATATTCACTGAGAATATAGGCTCGTCATAAATGTGTTGTACGAAGACAACTTCATAGTGGAACATGCGACTGACACTATTTTTAATCTCAGCTCACCGGAGATGAAGGAAAAAAAAATTAGAGACAGTTATCTATATTTTGTGCATAAACTGTATGATTCTAAGATGTTATTTTTGCCTCTGAATTTGATCTATAATTTTTTTTAGGGAGTAGAGAGTCTTAATCACAATATTACAGCCAGGCTACCTATATTGTTATTGAAATTACATGGTCTTGATAGTTTTATCATTCAACACAAGGTAGTTATCTTTCCTAGTAAGATATCAAAGTTTGTATATGGAGTAGACAAAAACCCAAACTGACGTACAATAAGGCACACCATTCTACATGGAAATAGAACATGGGGACTACCAAATGGCTAATTTGTTTGTTTGTTTGTTGATTTATTTTATGTTTTTTTCTTTTTTTTTTTTTTTTCCTGTCCAGAAAGAAAGCAGATTTTCTCTCCCTAAGATGGGGCAGGAGAGTTCTAGTTTGAGCATGCCCCAAATCACAGGCTGCCCTTGAGGATGGCTTGTTGACCTGCACCACTGTTGTGCTGGAAAAACTGTTCTCCGTTAATCCTGCATTTAGGTGTCATGGTGGCAGCCTTTTCTGAATTCATAATTGGAAAAAAAGATGTGTGTGAGAAATAGCACTTCAGAGGCCATGCCCCTTCCAGAGGTTTCTTTCTGCACCTGCAGGTTTAGCAGTATAAGAAGCCTTGCTTGTTTGTTATGGAGCAGAATTAAATTTTTGATATAATGCCACAGTTGTATTATTTAAAGAAATGGGCTATACAGCAAAAATAATTTTGTTTTATCCACAGTAATGAATATTTAAGGTTTTAGTGCACAAAATAAACACTGAGAATAGACACAACTCTTCCATTTTTAAACTGCTATTTTCAAGCCAAAGCAGAAGATTTATCTTTATTTATTATTAAAAGTCTTTCAACCATATTTTTCCTGCCATGGTACTTGGGGGCAGAAGTAGCCAAAACCCACAAAATTTAAGAATAAGTTTTATGAAATCACAATCTTATGCACAATTAGGATCTGATGATATTTCTGCCCATCGTAAATGTGGCCTTCACATTCACTAAAGAAATGCAGGCTGACTACCTGGAGATATAAACTACTTCCATAATGAATGTTGTGATCTGTGAGCAAAGCGTTGACCTTAACTTGATCTACAGAAGCCTCAGTTGATGAACTGTCATGAACCAGCCTCTGGTTAGGAGCACTGATGAACAGCTGGATTCCACAACCATATTACACTGCAGGTGCAGACACCAATAGAATACTTGAGACCTCCAAGTCTTAAATTTCCACAAGGGAAACCATGTCACAGAAAATGATAGGAGAACCTGTATCGTGTTCCCAACACGTGCTACACACCAAGAAGAAGAAGAAGAAGAAAAAGAAAAAACACCCAAAACCATGCAAACACAAAGATGACAGGTTCTCCCTGCAATAAATGCAACCCATTGTTCAGTAACAGTACAGGCGAAAACCAACATGCGCAAGTCTGCAATGGAGAGAGACTCAGTTGATGGGTTCAGTGAAATACCAGTGCATTTTCCTGTTGTAATTTGCTAATGCTGTCAAGGTCTGGCTCACTTGCTAATCTAATTTATGATGATATTCTAGATAAAATATTCACAGACTCACTTCTTTCCTTGAGCCATCTGGGTCACCTGCCTTCCCTTACTGATGACATTTCATTTTTGCAATGGCATTGAGAATTAACATCCTTAGTTATATTTTAAGCCATGTTCACTCAACTTAAATTTTAACCTATGTCCTTGGCATATACTAAAAAGGGTAAGGAGATAATTCCTAAAGATATGCATGACAATATATTCCTTGTAAGCAACTTACACACATCAAAAAGTCTCAAATTCAAAACTGTGCAAATTGTCACGAATATGGCTCTTAGTTTTCTTGGGTAGAACTGTAGAAAGGGTACTGAGAATTCAACAAACATATTTCTTTCTAAGTAAATGTCCCACAGTCTTTCTCAAACCTGCTAATGATTGGGTGTACAAATAGTTGCCTCATACAATCACTGGAATTATTAAGAACCCAAATAAAACACAAGCTTTCTCTTATTATTCTTGTTGGTTTCTTATTGCCACATATACTTGGTTTCTTGTTGATGTAGTGTTAAAACATTGATAGCTTGAATTTTAAATTTGGTCATGTGAAGAATTATCACAAAGTGTTTTTTTTGTTGTTTTTTTTTTCTTTTTTGGTTTTTGTTTTTTGGTTTTCATTATCTACAGAGATTTTTAACCAAAGTTACATTGTAACACACAAACGCTGTCTTGTCTTTAAGGCACGACACATCAGTATGAACATTCTGTTTGCCAAACTTAAAAAAAAAAAAAAAAGACAATATTATATTCCCGTTTCCCTCCCTCGATCCTCCCCAACAAATGAAAGAAAAATTGCATCCACTTTCAAAGTCAGCGGCTAATAAAGTCACAGTAAATTATTTTCATCAGTAATTTACACAAATTACAGGTCTAGATAGGACTGTCCTTATACAGTCTTGAGTGCATTCCAATTCAGATTTTCTGGGCTAAGTAGGCTAAAGTCAGATTCAAACCTCAGGGCTGAGAAGAGATCCCATTTTGAGGAATGTTGGTGACCACCTTGTCAGACGGAGCATAGGTGTTGCTGCCCGGGAGGGTGAGGGGTCTTTGCTAAAGCTGTGAATTCCAGTTAGGACTCTTTCTCTGTGCATAGCAATCTCCACAGATTTGTTTTAGAAACCATTAAAGTGTTGTAGATGTAAGACCATAGAGTTTCCTTTCTGTAGCACTAAAGTTTAATTCCATTCAGCAATCTGAATTCTTCATTCCGGAATTTCCATTCCAAATACGATTTCATCCTTTAAGACAATTTATATGTGTAGAGCCAGAGGCATTGAATCACACACATAAAAATTCAGTGTACTTGAAATGTAAAAAAAAAAAAAATAACAACAACAACAAAAAAAAAAGACAAAACAAAACAAAAAACAAAACGGATCTCCAGCTAGAGAACACAGTTACAAATATTCTAATTCCAGTGCTTGATGTAGAGCCAAGAGGTCCGAGTGACTTGATATCCTCCAGAAGGGCATGTTGTGCTGTGTGGGCAAGAGAAGGAGGGATGGGAGAGAGAGAGAGGCAGGAGTGAAGAACAGAGAGATCATAGCCATTGTTTCAAGGAAGCAGCTGCACACAAGGATGTGCAGTCCACCCAGGTTTAAGGCAGGGAGTTTAATGGAGGGATGATCATATTTGAAGGTTTGGCAGAACCAAGGTGGCATTGTCAAAGTAACAGAGAAATAGATCTGAACTGGATTTTAAAAAAATTTTTTTTAGTTGTAGATGGACAAAATATCTTTATTTGTATTTGTTTATTTTTATGTGGTGCTGAGGATCTAACCCAGGGCCTCATGCATGCAAGGCAAGTGCTCTACCACTGAATTTTAATGATAAAAGCTGAATTTTAAGGATAAAAGAAGAAAATATTGAAATTTTACATAGTTTAATATTTGCAAAGTAGCATTACCAACCTCAGCATCTGGAAAAACAAGCATCAAACTTCTACTTGGCTGACGGAAAGCAAGCTCTGATGGGGACCTCACTCCTAAAGGTCCATCTCTCAGCTAACAAACTAAGATAACTACAAACTTCCTAAGCCCTTTTGTGTATTTGAGAGAAAAACAGTGAATTCCTTTCCATGTTTAAAAAAAGAGAAAGTGCACTTCAGCAACTGACAAGACGAAAGTATTATAATGTAAATTTGGGCTGAGGACACATCCAGAATATAGATGTAAGGAATATATTCATGTATACAATGGAAACACATATGTACATATATATGGAAAAGGTATTTTATAAATAAATTAAGCATCATAATACTTATTACTGTTATATTAAATTCTTTTCTGCTCCATATTTTGGCCACTAACCACATGTGGCTATTAAGCACTTGGTTAGTACAGTTTAAAATGCATACTAAATCGCAAAAACTTAGAATAAGGAAAAGAAGAAAGAATACCACATCAATCAGTGATTTTTATATAGATTGGGTATTTATGATAATGTTTGGCATATGTTGGGTTAATTAAAATGTATTATTAAAATTAACTCTAGCTGTCTCTTTTTACTTGTATTTAACAAGGTTTCTAGAAAATTTGAAAATTGCATTTATTTCTCACATTATATACTTGTATAGGAGAGTGCAAGTACATTCCTGCACTTTGAGATTTCTTCTTAAATTTCTCAAAGTATGTTTTATGTCAAATCAGAGCACAGAAATTCACCTGGAAGTAACATTTTTAAAAATTCAGCTCAGATCTATTTGTAATAACAAAACAGTATTTAATATTTCTGCACATGCGATTACTGCTACATCCAAAGAAAAGCATGCATTTTGGGTACCAGAGAAACCAACCACCTGTGTTCCAAAGTAGAATTTTAAGCCTTCACCATCACCAAAACTGCACCTACATAAACAACCATTCGAAACAGCATTCTATTGGATATTCTTATCCATTTGGAGTCACACTTTTTCTCCTGAAATTTCAGGTATAAAACAGAAGGTATAGAAATGATTTACCAAGACTAGCCTTCTTACCAGGCATCACCAAAGGTGACTTGATAAGTTTTAACTTTCAAAGACTTATCCTGTTTTAAGTTTGGGAAAAAAAATGAATTTTATTAGTTCTGACCTAGAAAGACGTGGATTTCACACAGGCTAAAAATTATGTACACATTTTTTGGGGTGGTCCAACCACTGCCTGCTTTTTGTTGTGCTTAATTATGGTGCCAATATGAAAAATCAAAACAACATTAACTCAGGACAAGGACAAACTCCAGGAGACATTTCAATTGTGTGTGACTGGGAGCATTTCAAGTAGTATTCAACAATGTAGGCTGTGTTACTTAAGGCTGTAACCCTGACCTCGTGCAGAATGTCCTTGGAGCTTGTGTGCTGACTTGCTAATTAAAACCTAGGTGCGCTACAGGACCAGAGTCTGCACCAGCTCCCTTCCTGGGACAGAAAAGCATGGGGGATTTCAAGTATCGCTGCCAACACTGTCCCCAAACTTTTCAAATCAAGTGGAAGTGCTTTCTCTTTCTTCGTGTTCCTTGATTTGAACTGACAAGCAACATAGATCATTTCCTCTCCCTTTCTGTTACAGCCATAAACTCTTATATAAAACTGTTTATGCTGTCTTTTTGGAAAAAAAAAATTAGGAAACAGAACTCAGGTAAACCTTCCATCTAATAAGGATTTATTAGATGACATTTTAAATCACCTCAGGATAATAAGATTTTTCTATGTAAAACAAACATTAAAAGATGATATGTTGCTGCTTAAAAATACAAATTATTTTGTGTTTTCTGTAAATTCTATCACTTTTATCTTGGCTACATAATGTTTTGCTATCATTCAGTGAAGGAAGCAATAGACCTCAGTGTTATACTGACTGATAGAATGGTGAGGGGGGCAATCCTGGTATCATTCCCCTTTTGATGTCCAACCAGCCACCTAATGTTTTTTTAATTGTCTTCATTTTCCTCTTCAGAAATATGGGCAGATAAACAGCTAAATTAAATAATTAGGGCCTATGAGATCTTCTGAATATGTACAAAGCCAGCTGCTTGGCTTCAATCAGGTACCAATGGCTCATCCAAACGGATGAGTATCTTCTGGAAGATGTGAGACAAGTTGGCACAAAAGAACAGAGTAACACATGCCGTTTCCAATAGAGCTTATTAAAGTCTCTTACAACCATTTTTTTCTTCTGCTATTAATTCTACCCCCAGCATTTCTCATCATGGAGCAACACTTTTTTCTAGGTGATCTCAAGGACTCTATTGCACAAAGCACTCTAATCATTTTTCTATGAGCTGATTAAACTTATTTATCTTGTTGAGTTTCATGAGCTTAAAAACAGTTTCCCCCCCGCATCTTCCTTAAGAACTATGGGGTCATATGTTTCTGTGTGCATGGTATGTGTTTGTGTACCATATATCTACATATATGCACACATAAATCTGTAATTATTATACATTAATTTATAGCCACACAAACAAATATAAATTTTCCTACATTTCCTATCAAATTTCAGGCAAAAAATGCTAGACTCCAAATGGGTTTTTTTTGAAAGTAAGTATTGACTCTCTCATGCTCTTATCGCTTGCATCTGTATATTTAAATCAATTGTCAAGCTGCCACTGGGCCAAACTACAGGAATGCAAACAAAAAGGCTTGCATTAGAAGTACCACACCAACATTGTTTGAGACAGGTTACCTTTTTTGCTGCCTGTTCTTCTTCTACACCATCCCCAATTACAACATATACTACTTTTCTGCCAAACCTTTGCATTATTCGTTCAAAGCAACTTTCTTTTCCTGGAAGATAAATAAGATAAAGTTCAGAGTGAAGTTACCTGGTTAGCGGCATGTTCCTCATCTCGGCCATCTCCAATCACAACATAAGTTATGTTAGTGCCAAATCTGGACACTATACGCTCAAAACAGCTTTCCTTGCCTGAAAAACAATGCACTGTTTATTCTTCCAGCCATTGCATTCAGTAACCTAAAGATGCATAAAGTATTGAGTTAATATCTCTTTGACATGACATGAGCTAGCTCACAACCTCTGGGTTGATGAAATTAACACACGTGTGTGAATAACATAACTCTTAGGAGAGATTACTAAACAAATGCATTTTATGGTTCAAGTAAGCCAGTAGGGTTGAGTGTTTGACCTAGAGAAATTGTTAGTATGTTTTATTCCACTGAAAGTGTATTAAAACAACTTTAATTCCATAAACATTGTCTAATCATTTCAAGTAAGCATAGACAGTCAACTGAATATATTATTATGGGAAACAAGTTTCACTTTGAAGATTCAATACTAAGATGTGGATTTACTCTGATACACCTCTCCTTTTTTCAAGTGAGTAGGATCTAATATGTTCATTAATTATACTACGGATGCTGTCCAACTGGGCCACAGCCTGATGACACTAGCATCCTCTGATTATACTTACAAAAATACATCATGGAATCCCTGCATGTTCTTTGCTTTTATGATACTGGCATTATTTTCTGAATTTTATTCCTAGAATGTCCATATGGCCATGGCTATTTTCATCTTTTTTCTTAATATGATAGTGCAGAACTCCAAAAACTGCTAGCTTCAAGGGAAAAATTAAAATGATTTTTTAGACTAAATATAAGGAATAACTTAGCCAATAAAAAGGAATCTGGTCCTTAACTAAAATGTATACTCTGGTATAAAATTATTTAAGTTGTCAAAAAGCAAAATCATATTCTCTATATGAATCTTGCTAGCATACATACATACATTTATATGAAAAGAATGCATGGGGTTGGGACCTGGACTCTGAATTGTGGTGCTATGACAATGTAGCATTTGCTTTCTGAAAGCTTGGCTCACTTGCACTGTCCTCCGGAAACAGCTGCAACTGGGGGCTCCTTGTGCCAGCGCCAATATCAGCCTTCCAAAAGGCCTAGGGAAGGCTATTTTTGGTGGGGGATTTTAGGATTTTAAACTTCTCTTGTCAAGGTGCCAAAGCCCAAGTCTGTTGACCTTCAGGGCACATTACACAACCTATTTATTTTCCCAGGCATTTCCTTGACAGACAGTGGAATACATGTGCTGTTTTAACTCTTGTAAGATGGACTTGATGAAGTTTTTGAACATACATTAGAAGTCTGACTCTAAGCAGAATACCCTTGAAGTCAAATGTGGCTCTACCTACAGATATAAACTAAATAAACAAGTTGTAGTCCTTTGGCTGCTACTGCGCAATTTTGGAAATGTGGATTCTGGCCAATGATGTATTAACAATATTCCAATTATGTTTTCTGATTCATGAAATCTTCATTTCTTTCTGGATTTTTTAATTTTGGATCCTAGTTGAATCTATGTGAGACTCTCTTTTTTATTTTAGATCTAGATTCCTGCACATGCAAGGAGGCAATAGTATATCCCATACCAATTAGACAATTAAATATTATGGATGGCAAGATTATATATTATTTAGATAGCATGTTCTGTAATACTCTATGAAATATATGGAATGAATCAGAACTACTGAGATCCTGAATTCACCATCCAAAAATGCTCATAAAATTTTCACGTGTGTAATGAGTTGTATGCAGGTATCTTGTTATGAGAACTTTGTCCATTTTGCTTGATGTTCTAAAATTAAAATTGATGGAAAGGAAACCATGCAGAGACATTCATTAAGAACTACCCTCCAAACACAGATGTGAGCACATTCCATATAGAATTTTAAAGAATTTCCTTACCTATTTTAGTTGCACTGTAAATATTCTCAATGGGGAAAGCACCTCCTAAGCTATAGAGCAGGACCTTTGCAAGTGCTGGGATCAGCTGTGTCGTCGTTACCAAGACATTTACACAATTACTCCTGAAATAAGGAGGAAATATTTGTATATGTATCTGTTTTCTAACACTAAATAACTTCTGATAGCACAGATTTAAAATTGTTATTGTGGTCTCTAAATTCTATAGTAAATGGTCCCTTTTGATAGTCAACGGTCCTTGTCTATTACCAGACAATCCCCAAATAATGACAGACTATTAAAAATCATGCACAACCATCACTAAACTGTGATACTTAAGTTCTATATAATATTTTGTTAGAAAAAAGATGCTATTCAAGGTCATATATATATAAATGCTACAGAATAAAATCAAGGTGAGATAAAACAAAACTAAGGATTTTCAACTTTATAGATACAGTTTTGAAATGAAGTATCTATTTATCTATGAAATATTTGGAGTTATATCACCTTGTTTTTAACTACAAACACTGTATGAGTTTGTGTATGTGTTTATAAGACAGAATTTGTAAAAAAAAAAAAACAAGACAAATATAAGGAAGAATATAAAAAGTAAAGCTTCAATTATTAATTAGTCACCATCGATAACCACTTTCCCTGTTTTTTGAATTTATTTTCATTGTTTCTGTTTGTATATATATTTTCTCATTCAGATCATACTATATATGCAAATTGTTACTTTCTTTCCTTCCTTTCTTTCCTAAGCCTATCAACTTATTCCGTACCCCCCATTTTCCAACAAAACAAAATAGGTGGGTGTACTATATATTTTTTTTCATTTTTTTAACTTTAAAATTTTTTTTACCATATATTTTTGAAGTCCAGTTTTGATGTTTAACATGGCTTTCAATTTTTCAATGTTATAAATAATGCTTATTAACTTTCTTCTACACCTTGTATTATTTCTTCCAGTTGATAGTCATAGAAGAATAAGGGTCAGAGGGTAAATTCAAAAAAAGCACATTTTTTTTTTCTGATATTCCTGACATTTTGTGAAGACTACAATAAGATAATATATGTAGATAGCTTAGAAAATTTCATAGTATTTGACTATTCAACATGTATTGGTTTCTTCTCCATCCCTTCTTTTTTATGCCTGTATTTTTTAAAATAACATATGAATATATTATACAAACTATATACATACATATATGTATATGTGTGTGTGTATATATATAAACCTATATGATAATGAAACAATCTGTTTTTTACTCTCTAGAAGACATCTTTTAGAAATAATAAAAGCTTTTAATCTCCTCCTCAGAGAAATGCACATTCCACTACCCATGGCAGTTTCACGGGTTCAGGAGCCTCATGTCCCTGCCGCACTGAGTTTTGGTCCTCTTGTCACCAGTTACAGAAAGTAACAGGCAGCAAGTCCCATTTTTAAGCAGCTTCAGTTGTTTGACACTTCTTCCTTACATTGTATTACACTGTCCTGTCCTAGGATTCCACTCATTCCAACTCTTTATAGACACAGAGAATAGTCTGATTGATCTTCCACCTAACACCTTGAACTGTTGAAATAGACCGCTGTGTTCCGTAACGTGACTGTTCTTCCCACGAGCTCTCTGGCTGCTCCAACGGTTGTCTTCATGTGTTTCCTGCTGCTCTGCTCCCTGCTACCCCCAACTGCCACCACCACTTAGACTTTCTGTTCACAGTGCAGTTCTTGATCATTTCACAGGGTCAGAAGCCACATGCCAGGCTTGACACATACCCATTTACTTTCAAGTTCTCAATACCAGATTCTCATTTTACTCTACCAAGATTTGTATGTGTCTTCAATCAGTCCAAATAATATCTCTTTCTGTACATGTTGTGTTACCCACATGTTTGCTAAGCTTGCTTTTTTTTTTTTTTACCTATTCATTAAAGTTGGAATTAAAACTATAGAATAGGAAAGTACAAAGATTAATCCCACCCACCAACGATCACTTTCCAGGTTCATATTACCTTACAAATTAACATTTATGGCAAATAGCTCTTCAACAACTTACAAAACTATTTAAATTTATTATCTACTTAACAAGTCAGTATGTTACTGGTAACTTCAAGCAACACAGAGATTAGAATTTTTTCAAGAGCTTTCTCTTGCTTTTTCTAGTGTACTGAAGTTATGTATGTTATCTATTATGGTCTAAAAGTCCTAACACAAGCTTTTTTTTTTTTTTTTTTAATAAAGAGTACTGTCTTGTTTTTGCCATTATCCTTTGTACTCTGTCACCAAAAGAGTGCTCTCATTTTTATTATAAATCATGTGACCTTTCTATATAGTTATCAGTGGTTCTGAGGAGACAAAAGGAAAGATGTAATCTCCTGGTTATTCTGAGAAGAAAAAGCGGCTGTCCCTCAATGCCAACACACACACACACACACACACACAGAGAGAAATCACTGGCTTCAGTGAACTAATTCCTCTGAACTCCAAATTAGCCTAAAAATTAATTTTTTAAATCTATGTTGTGCTATTAGACCTCAGTTTCCCATATAATTAAAATAGAAAGGGCATTGATCCCACTTACCTAGTACTAATAATTGATAAAGACTTTAGTGCATTTGTTAGCCAGGAATCTGTCAGGCCTTCAATTTCTGCCCTTAACTGCAGCCACGCATCCCTCTTGGCAGGGCCAAGGAGTCCTGCAACATCAAAAAGCAAGACAGAGTCAGGAGCTGAATATATCCATAAGAATATAAGTTTGGTGTCCCTTCTCTCTGTCACTGATAATTTTTATTTCAATTTATATCAAAATGGAAAGACAGACATATCAATATTGATCTTCATTTCAGAACTGATTATTCACTCACTCATTCATTCAATAAATATCTACTAGACAACATCTAGGGGTCAGGCACTAAACTAAACAATGGGGACAGAACAGTGCAAAAGTGACCCCCAGTTTCTGCCATGTCTGGGCATCTGCCACCAGAAGATCTTTGCAGCCCTCAGGCATGGGTCCCACTCCAAGAGGCTAGAACCCATTGGGTCTGGAGGAGTGGAGGGTTCCAACAGCCTTGGGTGACAAACCTCAAATATTATGGTTGCCTAAAGAGTTTAGCTTCTCAATAATCACAATCATTTCCACTGTGAAATAGAAATAGTGGCATTATCATGCATAGCAATTAGAATTTTTCTAAAAGTAGTGCTAGCACTATTATATATATATTTAATTAAATATAATATTTATATTATATATATAACATTATATATATAATATTTAATTAAATATATATATTTAATCAAAACCTGTGTTTGCAATCCTGAAATATATGGCACTTTATAGATAATGGTGGAAAATTACATTGATGTTATGATAAGAAGTAGGCATGCTAATTTTCATTTTTTCAAAAGATGCAGCCTTTGTTTCATGATAAAACAAAATTATATAAAATCCAGACAAAAGGGAGGTTTCTGATTTAAATTGTATTTCAGAATCCTGGGAGCTCAAACACAGGTGGATGATTTTTAAAGTAAAATTTAACTTTCAAGCAAGTCTCACTTGTCCTCACTGTAATAAAGAAATACTGATGTATGACAGAAAAATGGACTTTAATGTGGCTGCTTAAACTATCTTAAGACAAAAGATTATTTCTTTGCAGTCTTGTTGATTTTAAAATAATTCTAATAATACCCTGAAAGGGATATTATTTGACTTTCCTTAAGAAGTCAGAAAATAGTTATCATTCAGGTATGTCATTCTTTCCTTATTTTCTTTATTTTTTATTTTCTTTTATTTACCATTTTTAAAAAGTTTTCATGTTTTAGTAACTTATGTTTTTATTAGAGCTTCATAGTTTTATATAATAATTGGATTCATTCCAGCAAACTCACACATGCATAGAATTCGATTTCAGATCCTCTCTCTTTCCCCTTCTATCGCCCCCCTCCAGAACTTCATCTTTACGCATAGGTGAAAAGAACCAATCAAATATAAATAAATAGACTAGCGAGAGGAAGTCTAGTAGAGGAAGGAGAAGGATATATTTTCTTTAAAAATAAGCATAATACCTACAATTGATTTTAACTGGAAATTCCATTTATTTGATTTTACAAAAGTGTCTTGTGACCTGGGCACAGTGGCAAACACCTGAAATACCAGCAGCTCGGGAGGCTGAGGCAGGAGGATCACGAGTTCAAAGCCAGCTTCAGCAATTTAGTGAAGGCCTAAGTAACTCAGTGAGGCCTGTCTCTAAATAAAATATATTACAAAAAAGGCTGGGGATGTGGCTCAGTGGTTCAGTGCCCCTGGGCTCAATACACACACACACACACACACACACACACACACACACACACACACACAGTCTTGTGAAGAGCATTGGAGTGAATTGGGAAACAGGAATTACAACCTAGAACTCTGGGTCAGGTAGGACTCTGCAGAGTCTTCAGGGTCCAATTTCCTATTTGAAAATGAAGGTCTCCACTGGTTAACATTAAAATTATCCATGGTTCTACATTTTTTGTTCTCCTATAGTTCTGAGTACTCACTGAGCATCTATAATGAGCTTTAGTACTGGACAGATACAAGGTGAAACAAAACACAGCCCCGCCCTCAGGATGTGTATGCATGGATGTGAGATGCATATTATACATGGAATTTCATTTACTACACTGTATTCTATGACACATATGAATATACACAGGTGTAGTATGTATGCATATATTTAGTTGCATCATTCCCTTTTGAATTTTGGATTATGATCTTCAAATATCATTTCTTTTATAAGAAAAGAGAAACAAATACCCTGTGAGAAGAATTTTATGTGATCTCATAACTAATACTAAGAATTTTGTTGACCTAAAATTAATGTCAATAATGCAGAACACACAGGTTTATTACATAAAGAAACATATGTGGATCTTAGTTTTGATATGATTCCAAGACATAAGGATGAGGGCGTTGGGGATATAGCTTAGTTGGTAGAGTGCTTGCCTTGCTTGCACAAGGCCCTCAATCCCCAGCACCACCAAAAAAAAAAAAAAAAAAAAAAAGACATATGGATGAATATAATATGGTTTAGATATTAACTATAGAGTATTTAAACTTTAAAAAATCATGATAATCTAAGTTAACACTATACCGTATGTGGGAAAGAGATACTATCAGATAATGTGATTTTTTCGAAAGGAAAAAATAGACTTGTTGAACATTTTTTAAATGATATGACTCTTTATATTTGTTCTAACTTAAATACCCTGCTGCAAATCTTGTCCAAACATCTGAGTACACAGAAACTAAAAATTCAGGATGAAAGTTATTCAACATGAACTTCTGCAGCTCTATTTTACAGTATCACCATCTCTACCATAGACTGCGGCTGAATCTACCTATTCCCATGGTGCTCTTATTAGATGAAATAAGACACACATACCTCCAACATTGTTCTTGTAGGTGTTATATAATTCTTTCACTCTTCTGTAACGAAAAGCCAACTTCCTCATCCAGTCCACTCCTCCTCTTACACCTGTTGGCAAACAAAGGTTTGCACTACTTGCAGCTGCATGGAAGCCATCAGTTGCAAAACTGTAGGTACTGCAACACCCAAAATACATTAAAAAGAAATAAAAGAAATAATTACATGTGCAAAACTCCATAGCCGAATTTCTGTAGGAAACAGCATACTGAAAGGCACGGCTTACCTTAAGTCTTGTCCATTATCATCAGAGGAAACATCATCTATATGAACTTGATCACATTCCTGTTAAAAACATGAGAGATGTTATTTGTTTTCACATGACACTTGTCACCATGTGACACAAAGGTGTCCATTATTCCTTGTGATTAGCCTATGGCCAGAAGATGGCAGCATTTGCCCATCCATCCCACCAATCCTATGCTTATTCTTTTTTGCTGGGAAATGTACCTTTTCTACTCTGTAAAATTGAAATCCAGAGGCATAACATAAGAAGGGTTCTGAAAACATGTAGCATGAGGGGTTTTGTAGAGCAATTTACAAAATAAGTTTAATCTTCAAATCATCGATTAGGAATGAAGATTTATCACCCTACTTGTGCTATAAACTCCAAGGATAATTAATTCAGGTTAGTATATCCACATAATATTGACCTGACTTGAAGTTAGCATATACTCAGAAAAAGTAGGTGTTGGGATTTGATTCCTCTTTGCTAAGAGTCTTGTAATATCTTCAAATAATCAGAAAAGGAACAGTGAAATATTATATGATCTGAAGGTGAAATGTGGATAAGGAATTTAAAATACTAAACTCTGAGAAGAATAAATCAAGAATTAATAATAATATATTATACCTTACAATAAGTAAATAACCCCAGACTAGATAGGGATTAGCCTTTGGGGCCTCTTTTATCTTCCCCAAATTAATTAATCATATTCACAGATTCTGACTCTATGCATAATATTTTACCATTCAAAATCAATCTCTCTCTCTCTCTCTCTCTCTCTCTCTCTCTCTCTCTCTCTCTCTCATTACATTTCAAAATAGGCCATACTAAGCAAAGGCTTTACAGGTGTTATTCAAATTTATTATGGGATAGGAAGTATCTGTAGTCAAATACTTAATGTCCAGTCTCTAGCTGTCTACATAGCACATATCATCCTGTTTCATTGACTTGGGTTTCTTTTAAACTATAAAACTCAGTGACAGGGCCTAACAATACAATTTTGTTATGGAAATTGAAATTCTATATGCTAATTTTAAAAGTTCAAAAGGTTTACATAAATTATGGGGTTATATTATTTTAAATTAATTTTTTTGGTCCTGGAGATTGAACCCAGGTACACTCTACCACGGAGCTATATCCATGCCCATCACCCTGTCCCCCCCCCTTTTTTTTCCAGTTTGGAGACAGGATCTCCATGAATTGTCCAGGCTGCATCAGCCTACCCACTATCTGGGATTGCAAGCATGTGCTGTGCCACTGTGCCTGGTTAATAATTTTCTTAAAAATCTCTCTCTACATTCATAGGGAAGGGCTCAGAAAACCTCCCTGAGCATGGTCGTTCACTCAACAGAATATAATCTCATTTCAGGCATAAACAGGAAGAAAATAATCACTTAAGAATTTTTCTTATAACAAATGGCCAAAGTCTAGACAAATGATAATTCTTATTGGATTTCTGCAATCATTTAAATTTTTTCATACAAAGTACGATGATATAAAAGAGTAATATTCTAAATGATGTAGACCTTAAGGAGACAATTACATCAAGAGTGGAGGGAAGGTGGTGGGAGGGCAGAGGCTGCCTAAGCTGTGTTCAAATAGACATTTTAACAGGCATTTTGAACAGGCATTTTGAAACACCCTATTTCAAAAGAGTGCAGATCAAACAATAACTAAGCAGCATTATGCTTCCAGAAAAGTCTAGGTCAGAGTCTAGGTAGAGATCCTACCAGTTATCATGAAAGATGGAAATAAAGTTCTCCCAAAACGTGGGCACACCAGAGTACTTCTAGAAGATGGAATTATTTCTTGTTCAGGGATGGCGATGTTCTTAGCAAGTATGTTGATTAAGCTGAACCACTATCAAACGGTATCATATAATGTTGCCCACTCCACTAGGTTCCGAAATCTTTCTTTGTGTAAATGATTTCCCTATCTTTCTTTTGTAATAAACTAATAATATCCCAGGAGAAACGTATCCTTGTGAATTATTCTGGGTAATCAGAAGTTATTTCTATATTGAATACCCTCTCATCTAATTTTTAGAGAAATTCCTCTGACATTTCGGGGATTAACTCACATGAATAATATGTACATAGGTTTCCTCAAAATTTATTTTTTACTCCTGAGGACAACAGTATATCAAACTTATTGGACCACGTACTCTATATTTGAAGTTATGTCTGAGGTTTTTCCAAATCTAACTTCTTTTTAAATTTATGCCTAGTTAACTGTGTCTGTTGACTCTGGACTGTTGCCTGAGGATTACAGTCCAGTGAAAGAAACTTGAACTTCAATTACATTTTTAGGAAAAACTAAATAACAGTTCTTCAATTAGTTTTCATTCTGAGGAACTATGTAAGAATCCTTTTGGCCCAAACCTGACATATTTAAAAACATTATCATGATTTAACAAATGTTAGTGGAAGACCTTAACCTTTTGATTTAACTCTAGTGTTAATCTTAAATGTTTTGTCTTCTAAGGTAACCACAGAGTTGTCACTACTATTTTCTAGTTAAAATCCACAGCCATTTTCTCTCACTTTTGTGATCCCAAACTCTCTGGAGCATTCTTTTTGAGAAATTATTCTAACTTGAAGAACATTTTATTGAAACAGAATTCTCTTAGGGGGAGTGCCGTAAGCTTTGCCTTCTGTGCAGTTGGGCAGGATGTAGCAAACTACTACTAGGATTTAAATTGGTATCTTTTAAGGAATTATGAGACAAGCAGCTGCCAGTACATATGTTGCTGTACATGTTGAAGAATTTGAGTCTCAAATTAGACTTTTAGGTTAAAAAAAAAAAAGGCCCCAAAAGATTAAATATACAAGAATAAAAAGCATAATAAGCTAAAGGTGGAGTTACTCTCTTGAGGGATTCCTTCCTTTGTCAGCAGAAGCAGACATAATTTAATTCTAGTTAAGGAACCTTTGCAATCTTTGGTTTTAAGATGTTTATGGAAATAAAAAATTGTGCAAAAATAATGTTGCTTTCAAAGTCAGAAGCAGACAGATTGAGAGTATGTTAACTGCACTGAAAACCCTGAAAGCTATTGTTTAAATTTCATTTCATTAGTGCTTGTTTATTTCACTTAAGTCAGTAATAAATTTTTAAGTATCCTTGGTTACTTCATCTGGATGTGCAAGAATGTATGTGCACATGCATAATGAGAGTACGATCATTTTACATACACACTTAATTTATTTTATTGATCAAGCATAATATTGTTAAATAGCTAAGTTGCAGGGTTTAAGTCAAATAGAATTTTTATCACATCCCAAAACACAACCAGAAAGAGCAGCATGAATAATAATATTTTCTCACTTACTATTTCTACGGGAGATTCTGCCAGATAGTCAAAAAATACATTTAAACATAGTGTCTTATCTTAAGTAAGAAAGTCTTAAAACACCTTAGAGGACCACTACATGTTTTTAATGTACAATATTCATTTCAAACTTGCTAAAGATATTTACAAATTCATCATGTGCTAATTTTTACCTTCTCACAACTTCAGTGTCTGGCTAAAAGTTGAGCAGTAAATTTATTTTATCTGGTTTCTAATGTGCCAATAAAAAAGCTAAAACTTCATTTATTCTAGTAAAATAAATTAAGCAAATGAGATACATGTTATAAAACTTGAATAAAACCACATACAATTTCTCACTTCTTTTTACAGTCTTGAAAGAACTAACCATCTTAGAATCTTCTTTAGAATAAGAGTCCTCCATATTAGCAACAGGAAAACTGATCTAAAAAGTTCACTGTATATAAAAAAAATTCAAGTTCCAAAAAGGTCCAAATGTGTTTCTCATTAACAGATACATGTAAAAGCATTCTGTATACTGGACAGTAATAAAGTAGCTGGATTAATTTAAATCGGATTTTAGGGAGGTGATTATTTCTTATTACCTAAAATTGGAAAACATGCCTACAAATATTGATCTTTCATATTGCCCATTAAAGAAAAAATAAAGCCTCTTTAAACAGTCATTTTATTATCCAATAAAACTACTGAGTCACTGCAGAGAGAGCAACAGTGAACAGCCATGGTATAGTAGACTTTCAGCACATACATTTGTGGGTTACACTGAGTCACTCGCTTTTAGTCTCACGTCTCAAATGTAACTAAATCTGGATTTAAGACCTTGTCAATGTTAAAAACTTATTTAAGTCATTTACTGAAACTTGGCTTTTCTTTCTCACAAACTTTTTAAAATTTCAGCACAGTAGGGGAGCAGAAATACATTCTCTGTTGCCAAATCTGCTTCAAAATCTCAGGTTCAACTACTTAGCTAGCAGGTAATCCTGGACATAACTTTTATGCTGTGAATCCTACAGTTTTTTCCCTACAAAAGTAGTGTAATACAGGTATTTTTTTCAAAATCTTGTCAATTAATAAATGGAAGGTCCAATATAAAAAAAGTGTCTAAAATTAGGTGAGGTTTAGTAATAATAATCTTCTCCTTTCATAATGTGATTATAAAGACTTTCATTGTGACACCATGAGATAAAAAGTAAATTTTAACATGTCATTTTAAAATAAGAAAGAGAAATCACTATTTTAGCATAATTGTAACTGCCAAAGAAGCACTCTTGCCAACTGCCAAACTATTTAATTATTTCAGTTTCTATTGTCTGGATGCCTAATATCCCAGTTTGTTAGCCAAGATTAGAGTTAGATACTCAGAGGCTGGTTCTCTTTGCCCTTTCATTTTGTTGCTTTTATTTTCTCTGTTATTTAGACATCATGTTGCAGGCTGAGGTTGGGAAATAAAAAAATGAATTTGAGAAAAGAAAAAAAATGTATTCAAACTCATCAGATGTAATATGTAGGTAGGTCCAGCACTGTTTTTATCTAGAACAGGAGGAAATGAGGAATGATACAGTTGTCCAAAGATAGGGTTCAAAATTCAGTGATCCATGCTATTAGCATTAAGAGTGTCTGTGAACATTGTCTAGTGATGATTGCAAATAGTGTCTTAGCTGGTCACCTGAAAGGCTAGGGATGCTGAGTCTAAAGATGCCAAAGGGTTGTGGTTGAAGTATTAAAAGAACTAGGAGTACCATGTGGGGTGTCTGGTACAGGGCAGCAAAACAGACCATCTCCTGTTCGTGGAAACTTTTTTCTTAATATGCGCTAGTACATATGTGTCATTCGTGAACACAATTTTGCTTTATGATCATGCTTGTACATACAATTTTTTGTCTTGACAAGAACTTTATAGTTCTCTTAAGCTATGTGTTTATCTTTCGGTTTTCTGCATATATGAAACCATCTAAGAGTTTTGGTGTTGGAAACAACCATTCTTACCTTTTAAAATTCTTACCTCTAAATCATTAAAAAACAAATGTGTATCAGCAAGATTAAAGATCATTTCCTCCATTCGGAGTCCAAGGGTCACAGCCATGGGAGGGTCCTGAGAAGAAAATGCACACATAATGAGGTAAAATTTCAGAAAGCACAATTATTATTAAAACAATTTTAAGTGCATACTGGTGTGTGAGTGTGTGTGTGTGTGGGGGATGTGAACTATGGACTTTTACTGAAGATTCAAACAGTTTCCTAGCATGGAGGGGAGAATAGAGGTGGTATTAGTATAAAAATATATAATCAGATAGTGAAGCCAGAATTTGACAGGCAGTCAGTACGGATAGGTAAATTGAGTCAGGTCACATTGAGTCAGGCCAATTTTGAGTGAGTCCCTAGAAGTTGAAGACTGTCCCCTGAAGAACTGAAATGTTAATTCCTTTAGAGCCCTTGGTAAACCTGCCTGGCTCCAACCTGTTGCTAAGGTAACTTTTCCTAGGAATTGCCCCTCCCTACAGGGAGCTACATCCTGCCCTTCCCCCTTCAGCCCGCCTGTTTCCCACCTTTTGGAGCTCCACTGAGCATTCCTGGGTCTAGTCACTCTATGCAGGAAGGAGAAAGATAAGGGAAAGAGGGCAGGAGAACAAAGGAAGCCTAGGACAGATAAAAAGGGCAGACCACCTCGCTTCTAAGGATACCAGGATACCAGCTATGGCCCCCTTCTCCCTCCTGGGAGAAAGGGAGAAATCTATGTTACCCTTTTTAAACAAACCCTGCCTTAGTAATGCTTGCTTTGGGGTGCTTCTCTAAAGTTCAAACTTCAACATGTGGGGTCACCACCAATAACGAGCGGTATCAATAGAAGGAAAAAGTTTCATGTTCAATCAAGCAGAGAGATGAAAAACTGTGCTCTACATATACAATATGAATTGTAATGCATTCTGCTATTATATACAACAAATTAAAAATTTTTTTAAAATTAATATTTATTGTAGATTTCAATACAGCCAGAAGGAAGGATTTTGAATGTTTCCAACACAAAGAAATGATAAATGTTTGTGAGATAATGGATAAAGTATTTACAGATTTGATCATTTCATGTTGTATACAGATATTGATATACACTCTGTAAAATGTATATGATTATTTTGTGTTCTTTTTTGGGAAATTACATATATGTATATGCAGATTTTCAATTATCCAAAAAGATGGATCTTTCCAAAGGTTTAAGAGACACCATAAGTACAGATACATCTGTGAAGTTAAATATATGTAGAGCTGACTCAGGACACATTTTCACCTGTAGCTCTTCTTGAGAGGAGGAGGAAGAAAGCCACAGCTAGTTCATGACACAATTTTCATAATCTCCATGGAAAGTCTTTTGGAGAAAGGTATTTGGGTGACTTGTTAAGGAATGGGACAAACTTGTAACAGAGAGGAAAAGGCTTCCCTTTGAGAATGGTGGCAATCAGAGCTAGGAGACAGAACTAGGAGACTAAGAGGTTGAGGGGATGTTTGTAGGGTTTGAGCAGAGATTATGCTAAAATGGGAAGGGAGGGAGAAGTGGCAGAGGATGGTACAACTAGGATTTAAGCAGGAGTTGCATTTTGATCAACAGGATGAGTCTCCATCTGAATATGTGTGCAGTTTGGTTTAACTTGCATCTCACTAGGGCTGAAGAGAGAAGAGTGGAGGACAACTAAAAGAGCATTCATTCCCTAAAAGTAATACAGGTAGAAAACATATGCTTTAGGGAGCTTATGAAAATTAAAGAGATTAGTGAAGAGTCAAAAGGACTCAAGATTTTGGTTGCAGCAATCAAGGTCTTAAACAGAGACAAGGGGTTGAAAATTAGGACCAGGATTTATCCTTTACCAAGTTTCACTGCAGCTGAACACCTGGCACCAAAGGATATAAGACTTTGGGAAGTAAGGAGAGTTTACAGATTGGATAGGAAAGTAATTCACACACAAACACTGTGATAAATTGACCACAGTTGGAACCATTGCTGAAGGAGAAGAGCTATAGGTATGACTCTGGAGATATGGAAAGGAGACAATCTGGACGGGATGAATCCTTAGAATTTGAGACCAGATGGGGTGTGCACATGCAGAAGGATCTGGTTTTGAAGAAAGCTGACAAGCCTAGAAAGATACTATTGATTTTGGCTGAGAAATTATTTTGGAAGACCTCAGAGGGTGATTTGGGTTGAGTGGCCGGGCCAGGAGCCAGACTGTGGGAATTTGAGAGAAAAGAACTGAAATTGTGTTTTCAACATTCTAATAAATAGCATTTCAAGAAATGTATTTAAACAAGGAGAAGTGTAATCATAACTTTAATTTATGATAAAAACATGCAACCCAGGCCAGGTCAAAGGATATTCATCTATACTCCAAACTAATTCTATTTGCAAGCAAAAGCAGTTCCTCATTCCATTTCTGCATAGAATCAATTTTGTCCCTGTATTTCCTTCAATAATGCTACAGTGTAAACATATTTGAAGGGTCATCTTTGAATCTATAGCCATTGAAACCTAGATAATAGGAATTGCATGCTAAGAAATAGGAATTGAGAGCACAGGGATTATTGAGGTGTGTTCAGGAAAACTAAGAATTGATGTGGGAGTCCGTGGAAGGTGCAACAGTATTGATTTCAACATCTTTTCTAACATGTTGACATCTCCTTCGTGGAGATTTTTGTGGATTTTTTTTTTAATAGCAAAAGATTTTAGTTTCTCAAAAAAAGATGTGGATTGCTCATATGATTGATGGAACCCTGGTACTGTATCCTCCAGCCAGCTTCACACCACTGCCCCAAGATTATCTGCTCTGCCTCTGTGACAGGGCCATTTAGGGCAACACACCTGAAGATTAACAAAATTCTGTTCTATCAAAGATATTCATTCAAAACTAAAAATGAAAACATTAACTAAATCTCTTTTTGCAAAAGGAGTTTCAGAACTCAGAAGGACCTGGGTGTTTCCTGTAAGTACAAAATTTTTTATCTTCTTGTGGTTCAGGTTTTATAATTGTTTTTAATGAAAGAAGCTCTCTTAATTTTTTTAAATATACAATTTGTTCCCCCCTACCCCTTGTTAAAAAGGGTGTTGGTGTCTCTCTTTTTGGGGGAAGAGGTGGGCACTGGACAGGCGGAGGTCATAGAAAACTTGTAAATATTCTGCCTAGTCATGGACCTATGAACAAAATTTCTACAGAAATATCAAGAAAAAATCTAATGTAATTATAGCATGAAAACATATAATTCCATTAGTGACGCTCTCTGCTTTTGAGGAATGTTCACTGATGCAAGACAACAAAACCAAGCTCCACACTCCTCTGCTGTTTCTGATGATTTCTGCCCTAGAGATATATATTTCAGATGGGAGTTCAAAAATATCTTATTTTAAAAGGTTTTCCTTCTGGAGGCCAGGTTGGTGAGACTCATATCCTATGATTTGCCATTCTTTCCTTCTTAAGTTTTCAATAAAATGACTGAATCTCTTACATTCATTCCTCAAATTCTTAGCATTTACAGATCGGATTTATGGGGATGGGAGAAACTATGCAGTTCCTCTTTGATTGTTACTTCCATCGATTCCATGATTCTGAACTATACAACTTTCTATGCTACCCAAGCAATGATAGGAAAATCCATGAAGAATGTATTTTGTGCATCTGATAAGCATGCAAACGAATATAATTTTTTTAAAAGAATGCAAGAATCCTCTAACAAGCAAGGACAGCATATGGCACAATGAAAACTGTGTTTGAGCACTCCATTGGAATGCAATCCCATGGCTCTGGGAGGGCTGTTCGTTTGTTTTTCAGGCTGTGGTGATTCCACATCACACACCCTATTGCAGCCAGCACTTACTAAGCATTTTGGCAAAATACCATGTGTTAACTAGGTAAGTTTAAGTCTGAGGTCTGTCAGAGAGTGAACTAACTATTTTACTAAAGCTTACAGACTGCAAGTACGTTAAAGGGAAGTACTTCTTCAGCCACACCAAAGGCTTGATACAAATGAGCCAAGGACACTCATGCCACGCCAGGAAAACCCTACCAGTCAGAGCTGGTGGGGATCTGATTTCTAGAGAATGCCTGGTGAGGGTTTACTTTCAAATATCTCATTTTACTCTTTTTTTTCCCCCTAGCTTTCTAAGTCACTGGGACAGTTAATTCTAAGTCAGCAGATTACAGTGCCGCTTTTTTTTTTTTTTCCCTGAAGGACTCACAGACCTACGAATTTAAGGAGGACAACTGCATCTGGTGGGTGTAGCCTTACGTCCTGTAATGTTGGGCACCCTCTGTCTTGCCAAAGCTCTGCGGAGAACTTGCCAGCGCCTGCAGTCTTGCTGTTTTATCAGGCATCTGAGAGTGAAACATACTTCTGGATGTAACCCAAGTTTTAAACAGAGATGTTTGCTCATTTTCATTAGATGTTTGTAGAATTACGGGCACCTTATGAATCAAGAGTTGCTGCTTTTTTTTTTTTTTTCTGTTTAAGTGGAGTGAGTGTTGAGTTTAGGATCTCAAATGAAGTGATAGCGAAAACTTGGACAGAGGAAAAAAGTAGAATAAAATGGCACTAGCAGGGGTTTGCGGAAGCTCTGATGCGTATTAAACATACGTAATAGTTCCAAAAGTTCAAAGTGTCTACACCAGAGTTTAACACGGGGCAAACATGAACTCCTGCCAATTTATCCTGTGTACTGCTTTATCAAAATATTGAAACTATTCCAAAGACATTTAATTGAATTCGGAGAGAGAGAAAAAGAGAAAGAGAGGGAAAGAGCGAGAGGAAAGGAAGAGGAAGGTGAAAAATTTGAATAGCTGTTGGTCTTTTAAATGTGTGATTCTGAGCCAGATGTCACCAGTGTAGAACCAAGCAAGGATCAAGTACGGAACTTCTCTAAATCAAAATGCTAACGCCTATTAGCCATGTTAGCGCAGAGCATAAATTGGAGCCAGACTGTCTGTCTATGGGCCTCTGCCCTGCATTGGGCCATCAGCTGGAATTCCTCCTCTAGGGACACTCTGTAAAAATATCTCAGGAGAGGCAGCAATTATGTATTTTTAAAGAAACAGAGGGAAGACTTTTTTTTTTTTT